CGCGCTTCTCGATCACGGACAAAGACCACCAGTTCTACTAGTCGGTCCAAGCCAACCACTAAGATGTCGGGGGTAGTCATTGGTTGGATCGTTTTTTTTTTTTTTTTGGATTTTCTTTTTTCTAATACCATCATCTTTTTGCTAGCATTGGGAAGTACCGACTTGGGCAAAATGCTTTGAGCCTTTCTTGATGTTATGTTTTATAGTCGGATGAAACTCAAAAATAGTCAGATTTATCACCGGTCGTTTAAAAATAGCTCAGTTTTAAAAGTAATCGAAATTTAGCCACTTTTCATGTAAAGAGAAATCTGAGCGAAAACACTGTTCAAAATCCGGAAAAATACGTCAGTATATTATGTTGGAGTTCCAGCATAAGTATACTTGAACTCCAGTATATTATACTGGAGTTCCAGGATAAGTGGAGTTCCAGCATAAGTACACTAGAACTCAAGCATAATATACTGGAGTTCCAGCAAGTATACCGGTCCAGCATAATATACTGGAGTTTGGAGCACCGGTGCTCCAGTCTCCAGTATATTATACTGGAGCCGGCAAAGTTATACGGTGCAGCATAATATGCTGGAGTTCATACACAGGTGCACCGAACTCCCGTATATTATGCTGGACCGGTCTCTGTTGCAGTAAAATAGTGACTATTTTTTATTGACTTGGTAAACGCTGGCTATTTTGAATGACCAGTCCGAAAAACTGGCTATACCGTGCTATTTTGACTTTAATATATATATATATATTATAATATAATAATAATATATTATATATATATATATATATATATATATATATATATATAATAATATATATATATACACACATTAAACAAAATTGTAAGTTTAATTACGTTCCTAATATTTAGGACTTTGTTATCACTTACATATTTGGTTATTAATTTTTCCTTATTAAACTACTAGGTAGGAAATATTACTAATATTTAGTAGTATTAATATTTCATTAATCCCACCCCGGCTAAGATTCTTCAAAGTTCAAACGATATCTAGACATTTTGACTCAAAGTGGCCTTGAATTTTACACTCTAATAAAGCATCAAAGAAACAATTAAATTTTAGAATTTATTATAATAAAAAGATGGCCGATTTTTTACAAGTTGAAAACAGATTTTTTATCGACAAAATATAATTTAATTATTTTTTAATATGAGGACTTTAAAATCAAGTAAAAAAAGTTCATGTGAACTGTTAGAATTCTTATCTTTTGAACACAAAATTCTTATTGGATAAAAATATATTCACAGTTAAACATTATTATAAATACAGTTAAACATTTAAAACTTAGAATGAGTTAATATTACGAATTTGAATCAATAAAATTTATTATATTTACTATTGAGAACAAATAATTAGGTCATTGAATTTAACAAATTAGTTATTCCAAAGAACAACATATAAGTAAAATTAATTTTCAATTTTGACAAAACTCCTAAGATACAATATCCAGAGTCAAGTCGGTAAAAATGCAAATTTGAAGCAATAAGGATAGAAAGAATAGAAGATAAAATGAATTCCAAAAGGGTTGTCTTTAAACTTTTTCCCCCACAAAAATTCTCATCAATTACAATAAGGCATATGAGGACTTCTAATCAGGGACATGATTTTATTCTAATGGGTCGTTTGATTGGAAAGAAGTTATCCCAGAATTAATTATTTCGAGATTAATTATTCTGGGATTAGGTATTTCACCTTTTAATGGGAATAATAGAATATTACAATCCCAGGATAACTCATCTCGGAATTAATTATACCGCAATTTTCTCCCAACCTAACATGGAATAAACTCTTCTTAAATTTAATCTCGGAATTAATTATTCTTCATCACTCATATTAAACGAACCCTTATTGTGCTAGATAAATTAGATCAACATGCATTATTTTCAGGAATTTATAAAAAAAAATACATTAATTTTTATTTCATAAATTGAACACAATGTTTAGTAATATTCCTGTAATTTTTTAAAAAGTTATGCACTCATTAAAATGGGGTACACACACAACGCTATATTAAAAGCACGAAGGCTGTAACGATCCGACTTGTCGTTTTGAGCTCTAGTGCGCCACTCGAATGTTTAAGGCCATGAGTAGCTTTACTTCAGGTATTATGACTTGTACGCGTGGTCGGAATTGAATTTCGGGAAGTTTGGAGTTGATTTGGAAAGAAAATTCTAAATTCGGAAGCCTTAAGTTGGAGGAATTGACTAAAGTGTGATTTTTGAGTAAACGACCTCGGAATCGGAATTTGAAGGTTCTAACAAGTTCGTATGATGATTTTGGATTTGGGCGTATGTCCGGAACGAGTTTTGGATGACCCAAGAACGTTTCAACGCATATTGTGAAAATTGGCATTTTGGAAGAATTTCATAAATTTGAGTTGAATTGTATTTCAATGTTATCAATGTCCGTTTGGGATTCCGAGTTTGGGAATAGCTCCGTATAGTGATTCTGGTGTTGGGAGCGCGTCCGAAAGTAGATTCAGAGGTCCATAGGTCATTTTGGGGTCATTTGGTGAAAGTTAGAAATTTGAAGGTTTTTGAGAAGTTAGACCGGAAGTGGATTTTTTGATATCGGGGTTAGATTCCAATTCCAGAAGTTGGAGTAGGTCTGTAATATCGAATATGACTTGTGTGCAAAATATCGGGCGTGATTTGATAGGTTTCGACATCGAATGTAAAGGTCTGAAGTGTAAAGTTCATTAAGCTTGAACTGGGGTGCAATTCATGATTTTTATGTTGTTTAATGTGATTTGAGGCCTCGAGCAGGTCGGTGTTATGTTGTGGGACTGGTTTGTGTGATTGGACAGGGCCCTGGGGGCCTCGGGTGTGTTTCGGGTGGTTTTGGATCATTTCGGGCTGTTTTGCAATAGCTGATGCTAGTGTCTGGTGTTGTTCTTCGCGTTCGCGAGGATCCTCTCGCGTTCGCGAAGAAGGATTTTGTTCTTCGTATTCACGAAGAGATGCATCTATGGTTCGTGCCATTTGACCATCGGTAGTGCACTTTAAATTTATGTTGGATCGGGCCGAACATCCTCGATGGAATATATGTGTGATAATAGATCTGGAAACTCTTTTATAATTTGTATAAATACTCTGTTTGAGAAATCAAATGATTTAAATGAAGGAAGTGCTTGGGGTTCTTTAATATGATAAAAGAATTGTCCAGTTATTTCTTGTTCCGAGTTTTATTTTTATCTCTATAAATCATGCTTAATTAGAATCTCACATTATTATATTCGGACCACTAGTAAGTGTCGAAGTCGACCTCTCGTCACTACTCCTTCGAGGTTAGACTGGATACTTACTGGGTACGCGTTGTTTTCGTACTCATATTACACTTGTTGTATATTTTATTGTACATGCATATATATACATTTCGTGGTCTTGTCAACACAGCGGCGTAGTTGATACGGGGACTTGAGGCGAGCTGCATCTTATGTGCGATCCGCAGCCAACAGAGTCTCCTTCAGAGTATTGGTATTTTCCTTTCTGTCCAAATTTGTATTCCTGACAGTTATTGTATTTTATTTATTCTTTAGTAAACGCTTATGCACTTGTGACACCGGGTCCTGGGAGGATTATAGGATATTCAGTATTGAAATTGGAAAATATTGTTATTTTTCTGTAAAGTCCATCTTTTAGTAGTTAAATTGAAGGACATTTATGATTTCAAAAATATTAAAATGAGAATTAAATTAACTATTTGGTGTTGGCTTGCCTGACAGTGGTGTCCAGCGCCATCACGACCTTTAACGGATTTTGGGTCGTGACAAAGGCCCTTACCAAAATGTCGTTCGCCCTTTTTACTCTTTAAAAATATATTTCACATTGGACTAACTTATAATTTAAGTTATTTTCCTAATATTTAAGAGTTTACTAAAATTTTATTTATCAAATCATTCCTTATTTGAAATATGTATGAAGTCCTAATATTTAGGATTTAATAAGAATACTATCAAAAACGGAAAACATGTAAAAGATTCTCCAATAAAGTAAAACAATCCGATTACGCAGCATCGTTAAAATTGTATTGGGTCAAAAATTTAGTTCCGTCAATGGTGTAACTTTAAAGTCATGTACAAATATTTTAACTTTTAATTCATAAATTTTTCTCTAGCATTTAATAATAGTACTAGATTTAGTGTACGTGCGTTGCACGTGTATTATGCGTTATGCACAAAAGAGCGCATTTTAATTAGGTAGAATAAGAATGAATTAAGTATAAAGATAATTGATGATACAACAAATATTTAAATGGTAAACTGTCTAAAATAGTGCATATTAAATTGAATAAGAATAAATTAAGTGTAATAGCATTTGACGATGCAAAAAAAATTATTACACTAAAGAAATAGTTGTATTGAGCGTGTAGACACTAAATTGAGTGTTACAACGAAGCATGAGTGTGGTGATGTTGCTGAAACCATTAGTGTTGCTACCCTCTTGATGTCATCTATTGAACAATGTTGATGTGCGCCATGAAGAATGTTGCTTCAGTTGATACTGGTAAGAGGAAGGCAGCTCTAAAATATAACGGTATTGTCGATGCATTCAGCGAAATAGTTCAGAATCTGTAAAAATATATATAATTATATAGTCGTAACATATGTAAAATTCATGTATAATATGTATAATTAAATTGGGTATAGTTGAGGAAGTTTCATAAAAAAAAGATATTGCTTGAAGAATAACAAAAGATCATCATACAATTATGTTTCTATGATATATGCTATATTAGGTGGTGAATCTTACCTAATATCTCTTTATAGACGATGTTCTTGGTTTATGTTCCTTTTTTTCGCTTCGGCTGCTCGGTCAAGACTAAAACCTTTGTTGTTGACATAGATATTCCCCTTGAAAGTGCAACATATAGTTGTCCATGTGAGAATACGTGTTGTGGTAAGTACAGTCCCACATTAGGTATTGTTTGTCCTTGTGCTTTATTTATTGTCATCGAAAAACATAGCCGTACTGGAAATTATTTTCTGATGAATTTGAAAGGGTAACATTCATTTTCTGGAGGCGAAAGTTGAATTCTGGGAATAAACACATGTTTAGAAGCATTTTCGCCCATCGTTATTTTTGCATGGATGACGTTGTTGTCAAAGCCTCTACATATCATTCTTGTACCAATACATAAGCCATTTGCCGGGTCCAAATTTCTTAATAACATGATCAGAGCATTTTTCTTTAAAACCAACCTGTCAAACAACAAATAATATCTTTAAACATAACAAGCAGAAGTTCAGGTTATCATCCAAATGATTTCATAATACTCTTTCTTTTCTTTTCTTTTTTCTTTTTTAATTCCTTTAGCTGCTTTGCAAGCTACCAAGATAATTAGAATTATTCACCCTTGATGTCCATTTTTCTGCTTGATTTTGAGTATAAAAAGGCGCACAAGGAAGACGACAGAGAAAGAGGATACTTTATTACAGTAACGCTAAAATTACCAGGTCTAAGGATGAAGTATGTTACTTTGGCTTTATTTCCTTGACAGTTACGTAGAATGTAACAAACAGAATATTTTAGAAATTATAGAAAAATCCAAAAAAAAAAACCCGCCATTCACACAAAAAAAATAATTACCTGCAAACTCTAAAATATTCAAATAAATCTGCAATTGTAAATTGTAAAGATGAAGCTACTGTATGTAATGGTTTATATTAATATAATTCCCAATTCTCAGAATGATCTACTATTTTTTGGTCTATCCTGAACGTTACATTTGCTATAAGTTTCGAATATTAACTTCAACTATTAGAACTGAGTACTCTTAGAACTAAAAGCAAGGAAGAGAACTTGTGTGTAAAACTCTTAAAGGAAAAATTGTATAAGATGAATTTGCATGAGTATACATAATAGGATTACGATAAGTTTAATAAATTTATCTCAATTAAAAACATATCGAGAGATTCTTTTAATATTGTCAGATATAGTACACAATGAATTCACAGAAAGATAGAGAATAGCAATTTGGCACAAACCTGTGTGGTGGAAGGGCACTTGGTATTAAAGTATTTAAGTACTCGTCCTGGTAGTAGCTGTTGGTATCATCCTCTGCGGAGTCAAAACTCAAAAAAGTTCTGCTTTCACCAGGAAACTTAGCAATTAACATCTCATTTAATTGATCAACATACTCATTTCTGCTAGCCAAGATAGCCCTTTCTGTCATGTATTTTGCACAACTTGACATTTCATCTAGAGATGGAAATATTTCTCTTATTAAATTATCTTCACCAGTACTATCACCATCATGTTTGACGATCAATTTTTCTGGAAGAAGGACCATATCATCTCTTATTGTAGGTTCGTCTCCATTACCGATTCGTAGTAAGAAATCACTGAATGTTGGATCTGCTCTTGCCCTCATATTTCTTGTTAATTGAATCTTTTCCATTTTATTCTACAAATAAGATTTTACCAAGCTTGCATTTATTGTTTCAGCTCTGGTAGATTTTGGAACTACTGGTAGTACTTGACGAAAATCACCTCCGAAGACCATCACTTTTCCACCAAAGGGTTCATTAATATCCATTATATCTCTGAAGCTCCTATCAACGGTTTCAATCGTCTGACGATTGGCCATAGGTGCTTCATCCCAAATTATTAGCTTTGATTTTCTTATCAATTTAGCACCACCACTCTGTTTTGATATATTTGTGATCGTTGTATCAGTTGTCTGAAGAGGGATGTCGAATCTAGAGTGAGCTGTACGACCTCCGGGTAAAATTGCAGCTGCTACACCACTTGTTGCCGTTGCTAAAGCTATCATGC